AATTTGGAACAACTAAGGGAGATGACCTTGTCTGTCAGTTTGTCTTAATGTGGTGGCTTGCATGTTGCTCTGAGGCTGGAAGCTGTGTCACTGGTATTGCAAATGCCAGCAGGATTGCCCACGGTAACTGGGTTTCAGCGGAGCTTCCAGACTGAGACAGAAGAAGGAAGAGGCCATCCACTTCTCAAAGAATTGGCCAGTGAAAACCATATGAATAGCACTGAAACACTGTCTGATATATCACTAGACAACTTTATGAATAGCCCTGCAACATTGTCTGATATAGTGCTGGAAGATGAGCCCTTCAGATCAGAAGGCCCTTAGGATATGACTAGGAAAGAGCTGCCTCATTAGAGTGGAGCCAACCTTAATGGTATGGATAGAGTAGAGCTTTTGGAACCTCCATTTGCTGATGTGGCATGATTCAAAATGAGAAGAAACAGCTGCAAATATCCATTAATAATCAGAGCATGGAATATTCGAAGTATGAATCTAAGAAAATTGGAAGTTGTCAAAAATGAAATGGAACACATAAAGATCGATATACTAGGCATTAGTAAGCTGAAATGGACCATTTTTAGCCATTTTGAATCAGACAACCACATGATCTACTATGCCAGGAATGACAAATTGAAGAGGAGCAGCATGGCATTCATCATCACAAAGAATATTTCAAGATCTGTGTTGAAGTGCAGTGTTGTCAGTGATAGGATAATATCCATACACCTACAAAGGAAGGCCAGTTAATACTACTACTATTCAAATTTACTCACTAACCACCAAAGACAAAGATGAGGAAATTGAAGATTTTTACCAACTTCTGCAGTCTGAAATTGACTGAACATGCAATCAAGATGTGCTGATTATCACTGGTGATTGGAATGCAAAAGTTGGAAACAAAGAAGAATCATCAGTAGTTGGAAAATTTGGCCTTGGTGATAAAAATGATGCTGGAAATCACATGATAGAATTTTGCAAGACCACGGACTTATTCATTGCAAATACCTTTTTTCAACAACACAAATGGCAACTATACATATGGACTTCACCAGATGGAGTACACAGGAATCAGACTGACTACATTTGTGGCAAGAAGGCATGGAAAACCTCAATGTCTTCAGCCAAAACCAGGCCAGGAGCTGATTGTGGAACAACCCATCAACTGCTCACATGCATGTTCAAGCTGAAATTGAAGACAATTAAAAGAAGTCCACGAGAGCCAAAATATGACCTTGAATATATCTCTCCTGAATTTAGAGACCATCTAAAGAATAAATTTGATGCATTGAACATCAATGACTGAAAACCAGAGGAATTGTGGGATGATATCAAGAAAATCATCCATGAAGAAAATAAAAAGTCATTAAAAAGACAGGAAAGGAAGAAAAGACCAACATAGATGTCAGAAGAGACTCTGAAACTCAGCCTTAACCAACAAGTAGCTAAAACAAATGGAAGAAATGACAAGATAAAAGAGATGAACAGAAGATTTCAAAGGGCAGCTCGAGAAGACAAAGTCAATTATTATAATGAAATGTGCAAAGACATGGAGTTGGAAAGCCAAAAGAGAAGAACATGCTTGGCATTTCTCATGCTGAAAGAACTAAAGAAAAATTTTAAGCCTCGAGTTGCAATATTGAAAGATTCTATGGGCAAAATATTGAATGATGCAGGAAACATCAAAAGAAGATGGAAGGAATGCACAGAGACACTGTACCAAAAAAGAACTGGTCAATGTTCATCCATTTCAGGAGGTGGCATATGATCAAGAACCAGTGGTGTTGACAGAAGAAGTCGAAGCTGTACTGAAGGAAGTGGCAAAAAACGAGGCTCCAGGAATTGACAGAATACCCATTGAAATGTTTCAACAAACGGATGCTGCACTGGAGGCACTCACTTGGCTATGCCAAGAGATTTGGAAGAGCTGCCCGACCAACAGACTGGAAGAGATCCATATTTGTACCCATTCCAAAGAAAGGTGATCCTACCTTTCCCACATTGGTGTTCAATGCATCAAATCTATTCTTTAGATGGTCTCTAAATTCAGGAGGGATATATTCAAGGCCATATTTTGGCTCTCATTTGTTGTTGTTGTTGTTGTTGTTATGTGCCGTCGAGTCGGCCCCGACTCATAGCGATCCCTCCTTGGGTTTCCGAGGCAGTTCTTTTAATTGTCTTGAACTTCACCTTGAACTTGCATGTGAGCAGTTGATGGGTTGTTCCACAATCAGCTCCTGGCCTTGTTTTGGCTAAAGACATTGAGGTTTTCCATGCCCTCTTGCCACAGATGTAGTCAGTCTGATTCCTGTATACTCCATCTGGTGAAGTCCATATGTATAGTTGCCAATGTGGAAATTATCAAACAATATCATTAATATCTCATCCAAGCAAAATCTTACTGAAGATAATTCAAAAATGGTTGCAGTGGTGTATTGACAGAGAACTTCCAGAAATGCAAGTGGATTTAGCAGAGGATGTGGAATGAAGGATATCATTGCTGGTGTCAGATAGATCTTGGCTGAAAGTAAAAAATACCAGAAAGATATTTACTTATGTTTTATTGACTATGCAAAAGCATTCTATTGTGTCAGTCGTAACAAATTATGGATAACATGGAGAAGAATGGCAATTCCAGAACACTTAATTGTACTCATGAGGAACTGTACATAGACCAAGAGGCTGTCATTCAAACAGAATAAGGGAATACTGCTCAGGTAGCATAGTGCCTAAGGCACTTGACTGCTAACCAGAAGGCTGGTGGTTCAAAACCATCAGCCACTCCTCAGAAGGAAGATGGGACAATCTACTTCTGTAGTGATACTGCCTCAGAAACCCAAGAGGGGTCGCTATGAGTCAGGTCTGACTTGACAGCACATAACAACAACAAGCATGGTTTAAAATCAGGAAGGGAATGTGTCAGGGTTGTATCCTTTCACCATATTTATTCCATATGTCCTCCTATCTGTATGCTGAGCAAAAATCCAAGAAGCTGGATTATATGAAGAGGAATGTGGCATCAGGATCGGAGGAAGACTCGTTAACAACCTACTATACACTGAAGACACAACTTTGCTTACTGAAAGTGAGGATGACTTGAAGTACTTACTGATGAAGATTGAAGACTACAGTCTGCAGTATGGATTATACCTTAATATAAAGAAAACAAAAGTCTTCACAACTGGACCAATAAGTAGCATCACAATAAATGGAGAAAAGATTGAAGTTTTCAAAGACTTCATATTACTTGGTTCTACAATCAACACCAATAGAAGTAGCAGTCAAGATATCAGATGACATATAGCATCGGACAAATCTGCTGCAAAAGACCTCTTTCAAGTGCTGAAGAGCAAAGATATCTCCTTGAAGACTAAAGTGTGCCTGACACAAGCCATGGAATTTTTAATCGCCTCATATGCATGTGAGAGCTGGACAATGAATAAGGAAGACTGAAGAAGGGTAAGTGCTTTTGTTGTGGCATTGGCAAAGAATGCTGAAAGTACCATGGCCTGCTAAAAGAATTAACAGATCTGTCCTGCAAGAAGTGCAGCTGCAATTCTTCTTGGAAGCAAGAATGGCTAGACTTCGTCTCACCTACTTTGCTCATGTTGTAAGAAGGGACCATTCCCTGGAGAAGGATGTCATGCTTGGTAAAGTGGAGGGTCAATGAAAAAGGGGAAGGCCCTAAACGGAATGGACTGACACAGTGGCTACAACAATGGCCTCAGGTATAGCAAGGATCACGAGATTGGCACAGGACTGGGCAGTGTTTCATTCTACTGTACATGAGGTTGCTATGAGTCAGAGACGACTCGACAGCATCTAACAACAATAACAACAAATGGGCAAAATATTGAATGACACAGGAAGCATCAAAAGAAGATGGAAGGAATACACAGAGTCACTGCACCAAAAAGAATTGGTCCACATTCAGCCATTTCAAGAGGTAGCATATAATCAAGAACCAATGGTACTGAGGGAAAAAGTCTAATCTCCACTGAAAGCACTAGTGAAAAGCAAGCCTCCAGGAACTGACAGAATACCAACCAATTGCTTCAACGAATGGATGCAATCTGCAAGCGCTCACTCATCTAAGACAAAAAACTTGGAAGATGATTGGAAAAGTGATCCAACACATTGCAAAAAATTATTGAACAATATTAATATCACACATAAGTAAAATTGTGCTGAAAAAAATTCATGAAAGTTTGCAGCCATACATCAACAGGGAACTGCCAGGAATTCGAAGCCTGATTCAGAAAAGGACATAGAATGAGGGATATCATTGCTGATAACAGATGGATCTTGGTGTAAAGAACACCAGAAAGATGTTTTCCTGTGTTTCATTGACTATGCAAAGGTATTTGACTGTGTGAATCATAACCAATAATGGATAACATTGAAAAGAATAGGAATTCCAGAACAGTTAATGCTCAGGCAAAACCTGTTCATAGACCACAAGGCAGTCATTCGAACAGAATAAGGGAATGCAGCATGATTTAAAATCAGGAAATATGAGTGTCAGGGTTGTAACCTTTCACCATACTCTTGTTTGAGAGTCACAGTTTAATGCTCTATCTTAAAACCTCTTAAAATTCTCCCTTTCCCCCCAGGCTTCCCAACACTGCAGATGAGCTGAGGAAGAATTTCAGCTCTAACCTTTGTCCCTAGGCCTGGCAGCTCACATGGGTAACAACTATCTCAATTGGCCACGGGACATTTCTTTCCCCAAACAAACCAGTCTCTCCTCACATCCCCCACTCTGTACTTTCCCTGACTATGTGTTGGCAGCTGCTGCCAGCTTCTACCTGGGACTGGCTTCATTTCTCAAGTCAGATGTTTAGCTGTCCTATCCCCTGCAATACAGAGCCATGCCCGCTGGACATACACCCCTTTAGGAGCCTGTGGTGGCTACAACAGGAGCCCCCAGCTACTGAGACCCTGAGCCCTGGGTTTGCAGCTCTTTCTTGGGATTGCGTCGCTTAAGGAGGGCTTCCACAGCAATGACTTCCTCGCTGTTCCTGGCCTTCCTGTTTTTGGCTCCAGCCACAGTGGCCATTCCCAGAGCTGGCAATCAGTGTCAGGCATGCGGGGGCCCCACCTTGGACCCGGAGAACCAACGGGAGCTGCTTCTTGACCTGGCTAAGAGAAGTATCTTGGACAAACTGCACCTCAGCCAGCGCCCAACACTGAGCAGGCCCGTGTCCAGAGCTGCTCTGAGGACTGTGCTGCAACGTCTCCATGGGCCCCCACGCAGGGCGCTTCCAGAGGCTAAGAGAGCACAGGAATATGAAATCATCAGCTTTGCTGAGACAGGTGGGTTCCTGGTATTGATCTTCCCCGAAACCTGACCTCTCAAAGGAAAGGAAAAATTTCCTCATCAACCAAACCCCCAACCACCTCCCGAAAGCCCTGCTTCCCACAGCCTGTAATCTCCTTATCCCAGGCTCCTACCCCCTAGGCTCTCTCTGGTAGCTCAGACCAATAGGCAGCTGGGAAGTTGGTAAATTTCAATTCTCTTGAGAATGCCTGCCTCATCTTCTTTGTAGGTCCCATAAGTTTCCAGACTGTGGCCGAGCCCATCCACTTCCTGGGCCTTGAACCCAGGGGCCAGGAGCTGAGAAGTCTGTCCTTTCTCCAGTCCCAGGGGTCTAGCCCCTCCTCCCCCTGACCTCACCCCACCCCACCCTGCCCCACAGATGCCTCATTTGGGAAAAAGCATAACACAAATTATAATACCTCTTTACCCCTCTTGTCTTGATACCTCAGGTCACCATGTCAGAGTAGTGTCAGAAAAGTGGATAGAGGATAGATGGGGAAGAGAAAGTTACTTTCATGGAAAGGAGAAGTGCTGGGAGAGTTTAGTGGGCGACTGCAGCAGGGAGATCAAGAATTGAAAGACAGAACCCTAGAAACAGAACACAACCTGACCTTTCTGGGCTCTGAGATTTTTGCAAATTCTTTCTTAGGCCTGGAAGATCCTTCCCATTCCTGTCCCTTTTCCCCTGGTCAATACCTACTCCTTTTCCCGTCAGGACCCAGCACTCATACCTGTAAAAAGGCCACCTTGTCCTGAGGAAGGGGTGCTCCCTCTGTAGTGGTCCCCACACTGTGAACCATCTACAGGTGTGGAATTGTTTGTTCCATGTTTTGTGAAATCAGACTTCCCACAGAATGTCAATTCCTTGAGGTTAGTAACTGTTTTATTCCTTATGTTATCCTTAAGTTATCATCAGAGGCTAATGTGTGGTCAAAATAACTAATATTTACACAACACTTAGGAGACCTGTTGGGACAATGATTAGCACTTGAATGCTAACTGAAAGGTTGGTGGGTTGAACCCACCAGCCACTCCACAGGAGAAAAGACCTGGTAATCTGCTCCCTTGAAGACTGTTGTTGCTAGAGGCCATTAAGTCAGTTTTGACTCATAGCGATCCCACATATAATAGAACAAAATACTGCCCAGTCTTACACCATCCTCACAATTGTTGCTATGCTTGAGCCCATAGTTGCAGCCTCTGTGTCAATCCATCTTGTTGAGGGCCTTCCCCTTTTTCACTGACTCTCTACTTTACCAAGCATGATATCCTTCTCCAGGGACTGGTCCCTTCTGATAACATGACCAAAGTTATGAGATAAGTCTGGCCATTCTCATTTCTAAGGAGCATTCCAGCTGTACTTCTTCCAAGACAGATTTGTTCATTCTTCTGGCAGTCCATGTTCTATAAAATATTCTTTGCAGACACCACAATTCAAATTCATTGATTCTTCTTTGGTCTTCCTTGTTCATTATCCAGCTTTCATTATGCATATGAGCCTAGGAAAGCCCTTGGGGCAGTTCTACTCTGTCCTATAGAGGCCACATGAGACCAGAAGACACAGAACAACAATACATGGTTTATTGTTCTCAAAACAATCCCATAAAGCAAATGTTATTGTTGTCCCCATTTTGGAGGTGATGAAACTGAGGCACAGAGAGGTTAAGTAACTTGCCCAAGGTCACATGGCTGGTAAATGGCAGGCAGACCAGCTCTGGAATCCTTGACCTTGACCACTATACCACTCTCCTTCTTGTAAACATAGTAGATGCTCAATAAACATTGCTTCTGTTAAATAATCAAACCACGCTATAGGTTAGCTTGACCACAGTCTAGAGCCCCAGTGATAGTTGAACCTTTACTCTACTTCAAATAAGAGTTTCCTCCTGTGATTAAGGGCACAAACTCTGAAGCCAGGTTGCGTGGGCTCAAATCCTATTCAGCTACATATTAGCTGACCTGAGTTGTTACTAGTCAGTTTTCTCCTTTGTAAAATGGGCACATGAGGTACATTGGTAGGTATAAAAAAGGGCATGGCAGAGGCATCTAACTTCACAAGAGGGAAGAAGGATCAAGATCAATAGCCCAAAGCTGATTCCCGTGAGGCAGGTCAAACCTGCTGCCACCCTCCAATCTTTTTACCAATTCTGATACCAACTGTCCCTCCAACAGCACTCTCTACTTCTACTAGGTTTGATAATCCATTGCAATAGCCACACAGATTTCACAGACAGTACTCACAATTGTGGGGTTTATTAGGGAGTTGTAACAGGTTACAATTCAAGATCAGGAAAGCTCAGGATATAGTTCTTCCATCAGGACAGCCTCCCCTCAGCCGTGAGGGAAGACAAGTCTCTCTCTGGCCTGGCCCTTGGCCCCTCAGCCTGGCCTCAGCCCTGTTCAGGCAGAACAAGTGCTACAAAGCTCTTTTAGCTCTGTTGATAAATGCCTAGAGACAGCCCACTCCTCCAGTAAGCCTCAGCCCAAAGGCATTCAGCTTTCTAGCTCAGTGGGTTAGCAAGCCTAGCTCCATGGCTAAATGCCCAGTGGTACTCCACTCTACCAGCAAGTCTCCTGCCTAAAGGCATTCAGCTTTCTCACCATGGTCATGGAACCCCGACTCTCTGTCATGTGCCAGTCACTTAGTTCTGCTGCCTTTGTTGCCACCATTTCTCTGCTGCTGCTTCTCACTGTTTCTGATATCACACCTCTCTGTCTCCCTGACTGAGGAAGTTCCGCACAGGGATCTAGGGACACACTCCATTCCTAGATCTTCTTTCTTGATGGTTGTGGTAGTTAAATTTGTGTGTCAACTTGGCTGGGCCCAGTTGAGTGGCTGGGTAGCTGGTGGTAGTTATTCCCCATGATGAGACTGGCAATCAGTTCCATGGTGGGATCTACCACAAGCAGCTGAGTAGCTGCCTTTGGGTATGTGGTCTGTTTCCTATACATAAGAAGCAACTTTGGGAATGGTTTCTAGCTTATGGCACCTTGAACCCTGCATGTAGCCATGTTGTTGTTCAGCAGCCTGCCATGCTCTGCCGACCTGGGGACTTACAACAAACTTGAATTAATGGCCTGCCATGTGGTTTGGTAATATCAGAACTATGCCTTTGTACTTGTCAACCTTGGGCTTGGCATCCTCAGCAGCCAGCCGGGAGCTGGAGGAAGAGCTGAAGCCCAAGGCTGAGAGGCTTTCACCCAGTCCCTAAAGCCTGGTGCTTTGAACTTGGACTTAAAACCTCCAAACTGTAAGAGAATAAACTCCTATTTGTTAAGGCCATCCCATTTATGGTATATTCTTGTCAGAGTGGCACTAGGTAACCAGAACCAAATATGGTACCGAGAGAGTGGGGTGTTGTACTGACAGATGCCTAAAATGTGGAACCAGGAGTGGAGTGCATCCTTGACCCAAGAGCCTGGCAGAGACCCCGGCATACGGCATAACAGACAGTAGGAGCAGAGCAAGAGACTGGCATGAGAAACAGCGGGAGCAGAACCCAGTCTAACACAATGGTAGTGAGACCTCACTTTCCACCTCTGGAATGGCTCATTTTAAGCTTAGTAGGATGGCAGCATTGACCAATTCCCACCTTATAGTCCTATACACCTTATTTGCATGGTCCCACACCCACAAAGGTGCCATGCACCTTATTTTCATTATTAGCAAACTGTCCAATCCCCTTGGTGGACCACAAATACTTCACATTTGTATAGTTCCACCCATTCATTTGTTGTTATTTTTGTTATATGCCGTCGAGTCAAACCCGACTCATAGCGACCCCTCCTTGGGTTTCCGAGGCAGTATCACTACGGAAGTAGGATTGCCCAACCTTCCTTCC